AGAGGCATAAAGCTTTTTGTGGCAAAGTTAAAGTGACAAAGTGTCAATGTAGACGCTGCCGTTCATTATGTTGCCATAACTGGCCTCCCTCAGTATCCCCAATGCCCACTATGACCATTCTGCTCACTGTTTTGAACTCTGCTGCCCTGCATACAGCTACATAGGCATGCACCCCTCCCTTCAAAGCTCTGGGAAGCTCTGACAGCTGGGGCAGCAAAGAGCAAATCATTAATGTGGAATCCTATACTGTAGTTCTAATTTTAGTTGGGCATGTTTCACCTTTTTCATTGTGCATTTCTGTGGTGCTTGGTTTCTGTCATACCTGATGTATTTTTACTGTAAAGTTTTTTTAAACCTACAGTAATTACACTTTTTGAGAGAGAAAATATCGATTAGTGTGTGTTTTGATGACACCAATGTTCTCAGAAGGTATTTTTATTGTAATTAATTGCAGAATTTCACCGTAATAGGAGAAGGGCCTACCTGTCTAAAGGTTTTCCTCTTTACTCTCTCATGCAGGTGCAAGGGGTACTGGAAAATGAGAACTCTAGATGGGCCTCTCAGGGGATGTCTACACTTCAATTAAAACCCGTGGCTGGCTCATGCCAGTTGACTTGGGCTTGCAGGGCTTGGGCTAAGTGGTGTAGACGTTCGGGCTTGGGCTGGAACTCCGCCTGCGAGGTGGGAGGGTCCCAGAGCTCAGGTTGCAGGCCAAGCCCAAATGTCTATACTGCAGTGAAACAGCCCATTAGCTCAAGTCCTGTGAACCCAAATCAGCTGGCATGGGCCATCTGCTGGTTTTTAATTGCAGTGTAGACATACCCTCAGAGGCTATATATTTACTCCCTCACAAGAGAAGTAGTTGGTTGATACGCCTAGTTCCTCTTTGTCCCTTGCTTAGGCGTAGCTTCAACCAAGGATTCCTGTATCCTATCCATACAGGGTGTAAAGCAACTTCTTTTCTCTCATTCTCTCAAACAGAGAAAAGGAGTAGATAATTCCCTTAGCCTGTTAAATGCTCCGTTTCATCTGGTAGGTGATGATTGCATTCTGAGACGATTTAGCACAGTTGGGATATGCTTACAGTGAAACTTCACTATATATCTGATAGTCAGTTGACTACATTGACGTAATTTGGGACACTTCTTTGTGTATTATTTTATATTGTCTAGAATTGTGCTAATTACTTCAAGAGAAAAATACAGTAGATTATAGGCTCTTGCCTGAAGGAGTTTACAATCTAAAGAATAGTAATACTCCATTTCATTGTAATCAAATTTTCACTATAACTGAATTCCACTTTAAAGTTTTCCATGCACAGTATTTTAAATGTTGTTGATCAGTACAGTAAATGAGAAATATTTTACTATCTAAATACAGCTAAATTTCAGTAGCTGCTGTTGAGTTTTTCAGAGTCTGGATTGTCTTATGTGCTTGAAAATATCATGTAAAGTATACAAGTGTTTGATAAATGCTATATGTGGATTCCATGTTAACAAAGAGAACCACTCTCCTTTCATATACCGGAAGCAGCAAAATGATGTTAATTGTAATGGGGGATGAGTTACTGCTAGTACAACAATGTTAGCACTGAGTTATTCACAGTTTCTATGGCGTTTCAGCCAAAAAAGCTGAAATTTACTGAACTACATATGGCCTGCACTCTGAGTATAAAAATCAGGGCTTCAAGAATAGTAGGAATTTGTGCAAATAAGTTGGTGTTGGGATCAGCAGCAATAAATACTTTTGATTAGCTGAACTGCAAGTGTGGGTTAGGAGCTTGTATACAAATACTTTAGCGGAGTTAAAATATTTCAATTATTTTATTTAAGAGTTTGGCTATGCATGATTCAGGGCATTTGGTAAGTTGACTGCCTAATGGGATCAGTGAACAACCCCTCCACTCCCTTATATTTCATTGTACACCTGGCCAGATGGCATATTTTCTGCTTTGCTCTGAAGGATCACTAGTGCAGAAGACATGGGACCTGACTAAAGAATTGCTTCCATCCAGCCAAGTCTCACCATTCCATTATTCAAATAACTCCCATACCAATGGTGCACTAACCACATTGCTGCTTAGGGGAAGTTCACAGCATTTTTGATGATGCAACTTCCTACCACTTCACATTTTATGCCAAAGATGTAGAATGATGCAAATTAAAGCTGTGATTGAAAATTCACAAGGTGATATCAGGACTCATGCTCCATAGTTAGTAGTGTCATTTATTTTCTAGACTTTTTTCCAGATTCTTTTTTGATATTTCAAGGAGTTAGAGTTGCTTAAACATGCATATTACATGCAGAGAGACAACAGGTTGAGATTGCGACTAACATCCCATCCTTTTAAATTCTAGGACAACTTTGACGAGCCAATCTTTTTACACAGTAGGCAGAAAAAGGTGCATTTTCACACATTAGTTGATTATGTGAACCCTTGCTGTGTGGAGGGAAGTCTATTAGCTAGCTGAGGTGAACTCTACCAAGCACCAATGTGACAGTGTAGGGTACATCTAAACCAGCTAGCATCTGTTAAAAGAACTTGGCCTGTCTGCACTGTGGTTTTAAAAATACACCTTTTTTATTCTAGTGTACACAAGGACTGTATGGCTGTATATATTGTTTGGGTCAGAGAATACGGAGATACCATTTAAAATACAGATTTTACAAAGCTTTGCTTCAGTTCCTATTTTAGTTAAGTGTATAATTAATGTTTTAATGTATCTGGTTTTATAGCAGAACTTTTTGATGTTGATAAAAGCCCAAGGGGGCTGCACTGTTGGATGTTCAGTTACCTCCTTTTCTTAATTTTATCAATACAAAAACTACATTAAAAGAATACTGTTTAGATTGGGTAGTCAAGCACTCAAAAGTTAGGAATTTACAGTTGGTTGCCTGTGCAACCTTAGTTCGCCCCCTTATGAATCCACCCTGTGCATTGAATGAGGTAGGGTTCCTGGGGAAAATAGTGTGTGATCCTGCAATTAAGACTATATAATTAGAGCCCTACCAAATATATGGTCCATTTTGGTCAATTTCGCGATCATAGGATTTTAAAAATCATAAATTTCATGATTTCAGATGTTTAAATCTGAAATTTCATGGTGTTGTAATTGTAGGGGTCCTGACCCAACTCTGAAGGCAGGAGTGCAGAAGGGTGGCATGATATGGTATTGCCACCTTTTCTTCTGCGCTGCTGCTGGTGGGGCACTGCCTTCAGAGCTGGGCACCTAGCCAGCAGCTGTCACTCTCCGGCCACCTAGTTCTGAAGGCAGCGCAGAAGTAAGGGTGGCAATACCGCAACCCCCCTACAATAACCTTGTGACCCCCCAACCCCCCACAACCCTCTTTTGTGGCAGGACCCCCAGTTTTAGAAACCCTGGTCTCTCCTGTGAAATCTATGTAGTATAGGGTAAAAGTACACAAAAGATCACATTTCACGGGGAAGACCAGATTTCACGGTCCATGACGCGTTTTTCACGGCTGTGAATTTGGTAGCGCCCTATGTATAATGCATATGCATGTGGGGCCAAATTAAGATTAAAATAGCAACTGTAAATCTGGCCTTTCCTAACGAATGCTTTAGTTTGAAACCCAAATACATACAAAAAAGTTAAGAATGTTAATTTCCTAGGTTTTGTTTTTTTAAACGACAAAAGTAAAAGTAGGTCTGTGTGTGTGTGTGTTTGTAACTCTGGCAATCTCCCCATCATGCATCCTCAGCAGAATTTGAAGCCTGAGCCTTTGGCACAGACTTCCACCACTTGAGCTATAGGTGTAACTACAGTAGCTGTCAGAGGAAGGATTTTTATCCCAGATTGTGGGGGAATGACACTGAAGCCATGTTCTGGGTCTGGGTGTGTCTGGCCTAGTTTGTCCCCCCCATGCCATCCCCAAGAAGTCAGGGAGCTAGCTCCTGTGCACTTGGGGTGGTGGGAGGGATTGGCATGGGAAGCCAAACCCAGCTCTCAAAACCAACTCTACCCCGCCCCTTGCCACACTGACTCTGGCAGCTCCCAGGTACTACCAGCAAAGTGTGGTGATGGTGCTGCTGTTCTGGCAGTTTGCTTGAGCTGGACTTTTTAGAACGTTCAGCGGTTTTGAGAGGCTACCAAAATTTCCCAGCGGTTGAAGGAAAGCAAGGGAGAGGAAATAGCAACTAAATTTTTTTTTTTTGACAATTTTGCTAAATCTGAATGGAATTTTATGGGACAAAGAAAAAAGGCATTTCTACAACCTGAGAGGTTTCCCTCAAGTGAATATCGAAGACTGATTGCAAGCATGTTTGTGTTAATGCTTCTCAAAGAAAAGGGTGCAAAAATCCTTTAGAATGGAAAGTGTTAAACAACCTGAATATAAGGGTTCCTACTGGCTCCCCCAATAAGTGTGGCTTTGTAATCTTTTATTTTTTCATAACTATTTTGGAGTTCCTTGAACCAGAAATCAAAATGACTGCTACAGAATATCAGAAATATCTGAGAATGAGGCACTGAAGTTCATATTTCTAACCAGGCTTTTTTCTTTTCATTCTATAGAAATTTCCACATTAGCAGGTATAATTTTTTTTATCATTGCACTGAAATGCTTAACTGGTATTCTGAAACTTTGCTGAAAGCAAACAAAAACTTTATATGCAGAAGTACACTGATCTAAAAGAAGTCTCCTCGTGTTCCACAACATAATGTATGCTTTTGCGCCTTTGATCTGGAGCTCTGTTAATATAAAGTTAATGTAATGCTTTTCCTTTCGGGTTTTAAGGGACCTTGAAATATCATAGTAATCCAGTAAGAGGGATGACAGTATTTCCTTATTTATTTAGCTGTTTATCAAAACTTATTTTTTAGTTATAGAATATGCCCATGAAATGTTTATGCCATTCTGTAGTACAGAAGTATTTCTCTAGCATAAAAAGTGACCATTAATATACAAATTACCTTATCCCTCTTGCTTCTTTAGAAAGCTACTGTGTATAGAGTGTAATCATGTTTCTTATCATTTAGGTGACAAACAGCATGTTTGGTGCTTCAAGAAAGAAGTTTGTAGAGGGGGTCGACAGTGACTACCACGATGAAAACATGTACTACAGCCAGTCTTCAATGTTCCCACATCGGTCGGAAAAAGATGTAAGCTGAGCAAACATAATATTTTGCCCTTTAATAATGGAGTAATCTCATAACAAGGTGTATGAAATTGAAATAAGGACAGAATGTCCTCTACTCCAGGGTATTTCTTTAAGCTGTAGCCTGTGTAAGTTAGTTGGTGTGTAGACCTCGCAGGTAGTTCAAATGAACTGCTTCAGTGCCCTACTCATAGTTTCTCAGCTAGAGATAAAGGTAGTTTAGTTCCCAGAGAAGTCCTAGATAGATGGCCTGGATCTACTTTTCAAATTCAGCTATTTGAGAAAGATTAGGAGCATGTCCAACCCTGTCCATTGCACAAGAACATTCCTTTCTTTTTTTGTCCCCGAGGTTGTGTTTCTGGCCCATTGTTGAAGCATTGCTTATTCTCTAAATAAATGCTACTCCTTCTTTCACAGGGAGTGCTACCATACACCTGACTCCTTCTTGGCCAAATATGCATAGGACTTGCTAGCTTCTGGGTCCCATAGGATTGAGAATTAAATTGTGGATTATGATTCGAAAAACAATCCTCAAATCTACTGGAAAAAAATAAACTATATTATTCCTCCTCCCCCCACCCCAAGGCAGGGGGATTCTTATAGTTCAGAAGCACGTAGAAGGACAAAGTTCTTCTAGAAAACTCAAAATTGAGGACTTAGCTCGCCCCCCCCAGTGTAGACCAGGCCCAAGTCGGTCTAAGTTATGCAACATCAGCTACGAAAATAGTGTAGCTGAAGTCGACTTACTTAGAGCTACTTACCATGGTGTCTTCACTGTGGTAGGTCGACTGCTGATGCTCCCCCATCGACTCCGCGTACGCTTATCGCTCCGGTGGAGTACCGGAGTCGATGGGAGAGCGCTCAGTCGTTGATCACGTCTTCACTAGATGTGATCAATCAACCCCTGCTGGATTGATCACTCCGGAGGTAAGTGTAGACATGACCCAAGTATGATTATGCAAAGCATAACGGTCTATAGTAGTTTGTTAGAACACCTTTCCCATGATTGCCTCCTGTTCCAGCAAGGCATATCCTTTTGAGAGGGTAACATTACGAGATAGAATACTCTAGCCCTTTACTCCTTTAAGGAATTGTTTGACTTGACACTTTTGCAGCACTGTCACTATATATTTCCTTTCAACAGCCAGGCCCTGTAGAATTTTTTTTCAAGTGGCAAACCGAGAGCTTTTTCCTCATTACATTTTAGTAAAGGAAGGGTTCTAGACCCTCTTTAAAATGCATATTCTAGATGTAAAACTATATTTTCTGCCTCTAGCTAACTATTTGTATAGTAACTGTCACTATAGTTTTCTTCTGGCTTGCCATTTAAGATAGCTTCAACACTAAGACTTTACCAAGGTGAAAGCAGCAAAACTAAGGGGAGGGCACCTGAAGTCTTGTCTTATAATTGGATGACTTAATGCAAGTGGCTGGGCAACAAACAGCACCACAAGTAGTTCAAGAGATTGTAAGAGTATTTGAGAGCCTTGGTTTAGGCCTTGTCTACACAACTTGCGTCAACAAAACTCTGTAATGCCAACCATCAAAAACTGGTATAATTATGTCGCTTGTGCAAGTTCACACAACGCTCCTTCTGTTGGCAGAGAGCATCCACAATTGGTGCTCTAGCATTGATAGTGAGAGCAGTGCACTGTGGTTAGCTATCCCACTGTGCTACTCGCCACCTTCTGCTGCTAGGAATTGTGGGAAGGTGGAGTGGATCGCAGTGCATCATGGGTGTTGGCTCATCGTCGAATTATGCAGTTTTTTCCGTTCCATCATTCCATGAGCTTCTGACTGCGTTTTGCGGCATTTTTCAACGGCCCATGTTTACTGTGTGCCCTCCATCTCCGTCTGAAAGGATGGATCTTGCACTGCTCTCTACTGTTGTAGTCACTGTTAGGAACAGATCACGGCTGGTCATGCAGTATATCATGAACATCTAATCTGAACAGGAATCAGAGGTGCCTGACCTGTTGCATACCATGGAAAGAAGCAACACCAGATTACTTTTGGCATTCACAGAGCAGCTGCACATGGTGCACCATTGCTTTTAGGCTTAGGAAATAAGCACTGAGTGGTGGGATTACATCGTTATGCAGGTCTGGGATGACAAGCAGTGGCTGCAGAACTTCCAGGAAGGTGGCTTTCCACATCTGAAACTGTGTGCAGAGTTTGCCCTCTCAGTGGAGAAGCGTGTGGTGATTGCTGTGTGGAAGCTGTCAACTTCAGACTGCTGCCAGTCAGTCGCGAATCAGTTTGGAGTCGGGAAGTCCACCATTGGGACTGCATTAACAAAAAGCGTGCTGGACCATTAATCGCATCCTGCTATGAAAGGTCTATGACTCTTGACAATGTGTGTGAAATAGTGGATGGCTTTGTGGTAATGGGATTCCATAACTGCGGAGGGGCAATAAATGGCAGGCATATCACAATTTTGGCCCCGGACCATCTTGCGACGGAGGGTATTAATAGAAAGGGGTACTTATCTATGATATTGTGGGTGTTTGTGGATTACCGTGGGTGTTTTACTGACATCAACACGGGGTGGTCCACGAAGGTCCTTGACGCATGCATCTTCAGGAACACTGGAGTGTACAGAAAACTGCAAGCATGCACTTTCTTTCCAGACCAGAAGATTCCAACGGGGGATGTTGAAATGCCCATAGGGATCCTGAGAGACCCAGCGTACCCCTTACTCCCATGGCTCATGAAGCCTTGCATGGGATACCTGGACAGCAGCAAGGAGCGCTTCAACAATAAGCTGAGCAGGTGCAGAATGACAGTAGAACATGCCTTTGGCAGATTAAAAAACATGCTGGCCCTGCCTTTATGGCAGATTAGACTTAAATGAGGAAAATATTCCCATGTCCATAGCAACCTACTGTGTGCTCCATAATATTTGTGAGGCTAAGGGTGAAAAGTTTCCTCTGGAGTGGAGTGTGGAGGTTGATCGCCTGGCAGCTGATTTTGAGCAGCTAGATACCAGGGCTAGTAGAGGGATACAAGGGGGCGCTATTCGAATCATGGAGGCTTTGAGGCACCATTTTGACAATGAGCAACAGTAATGTGTCTTTCTATACAGCACTCTGCCATGCTTTGGTAACTTGCCACCTTATATGAAAATTTTGATGATTCCTGACCTGATGATTCCTGTAGTCAGGAAATGATCAAATTGCCATTGTATTAATTCCAGCAGCAACCACCATGTGTAGGAGACAAATAAAGATTGGTTATCTTTCAGAGAGTATGTTTTTATTAAATACCAATTAACAACACATACAAAAGGCTTGGTGGGAAGGGCAATAACAATGAAAGGCAGTGTAGGCTCTTATAGCTGTGTGTAAGTCCAGCTATCATTTTGGAAGCTGTCCGAACGGGTGGCATGAACAGGGTACCGAGACATTCTAGGAAGTTGCAAGGAATGTGTGGGAGGAGTTTGGGGAGGGCTTGAAAAGCAGTTCTGTATTGGCTTGGGGTGGGTGGGGGGAGCATGCATGTGTTCTGCCTGCAGCGTGATTAGGGACTTCAACATCTCTGTTTGCTCCTCCATCACTTTTATCATCTGCTTTTGCCCCATTAAAATTCACTCCTGGCTCTCCTTTCTGTCCTGTCTGTCTGTTTTATAATTTTCTTTTAAAGTCTCTCGCCTCACCCTGTGTTCTTGTTTTTTGACCTCTGAGGGTTGGAGCACCTCTTGAAACATGTCCTTCTTGTCCTTCCTTGATCACTTCCTTATCTGCCGGTGTGTAGGGGGGTTCCCCTGAAGGCCACATTTGCAGAAGCACAAGAAACAATAAACAGAAGCATGATTGTTAGTGCACGCCCAGCATCGAATCATTGTAGTAAAATGCACATCTTTTTAAATGTTTTAAATGAATCAGTTTCCCATTGTCCCTTAGCAAGCACACAGCTCGGTGAATGCCCTAAACATGGTGAGTTCAGCCTGGGGAGAGGAAAAGGGGTGCTCAAGATGGGGCAAAGGGTCTAGGTGGTTTTTTAAGGGGATCACTGCAGGCAACTAGGAACAATATTGTAAATTCTGCCACCATTTTCCACAGGCGGGGGCCATTGAAGCTGATATTTCACTCCTGATGGTAAGCAAGGATGCAAGAGTGCATCTCCTCCATGCGTGCAGCCTCAGACCGCGTCCCTAAGCTGCTTGCCTGTGTGCTGCTTTGGTCCGTGCACAAGTGATTGCTGATTGGCACGGGAAAGTTTCCTACAACAGGGGAAGGAACACAACACTTCTGCCAAGGAACTTTCGGCAGAGGATTGGCGAGTACCCGCAGAAAAGTTTTTCCTAGAGATCTTTGCAGGAATCCTGTGACATCTCGGTGGGCATTAATACATTGTTCCGCCGCACTGCTTAGCTGCACAGGAGAGAATGTGAAGCACACGCAAACACAGCTAGTCGTGTACGTTTCTATCCCTTCACTCACTTCAGAATATGCAAAGCAAAGGACAACTCTACCTCATATAACTTAGCAGCATCAACTCAACTTATCAGAGCTCTCCCCTCCTGCATCATGTGTGCCAGAGACGGACTGCTGGGACTGGCGAGATGCCTCCGGAGTGAAAAAGAGATCCTGACTTGCCGTGCCACTGGATGATCCTGCCATGTGCTCCACATTGTCCTCCAACTCGACCTCCTTGTTCGTGACTTACTTCATCCTTGGGGTTGAGTCCGCTGACTCCAGCCCTGCCGAAGTATCCACAGGGCTCTTGGTGGTGGCAGTGAGGTGTCCACCAAGGATGGCATCCAACTCTTTATAGAAGTGGCAGGTTTTTGGTGCAGCCTCAGGTCGACAGTTTGACTCCCTTGCTTTCTGGTACACCTGCCTCAGCTATTTTATCTGTGCACGGCACTGCTGCATGTCCCGTTCGTAGCCTTTATCCAACATGCCACGAGAAATCTGACCATAGGTATCGAAGTTCCTATGGCTGGAGCGGAGCTGGAACTGCACAGCCTCTTCTCCCCACAGTGTCAGCAGATCCAACAACTCGCGTGTGCTCCAAGCGGGAGAGCGTTTGCTGTGTGGAGCCGCCCTGGTCAGCTGGGAAGATGTGATGTGAGCTGTCCACTCTGAGCAAACAGGAAGTGGAATTTCAAAAATTCCCAGGCCATTAAAGGGGGAAGGGTGGATGTCTGTGTACCTTGGTGCAGGGCAGCAGTGTTTGAACTGCTGACCAGAGCAATCAGGCATTGTGGGACATCTCCTAGAACCATTTATTGGAACATAACCAAGCGCGCTGTCTACACTCACACTTTGTTGATATAACTTTGCTGCAAAAAGCTCTACGGCTTTTGTCAAGATGGTTTTATTTTGTCGGCAAAGCAGGAAAGTTTGTTGGTGGAAGGAGCATTGCAGCGTGTACACCTCCTTTTGTTGACAAAACTCTGTAGTGTAGACAGGCCTTAGTTGAAGAAAAAGGATATATCAGAGTCTACCTAGATTGTCACCAGGAAGTTCAGTTCTAGATAACCAGAGTTGAAATCTTCTGTTGTGGAAGAATTCCATGTGTAGTTCAGTGACTCACCTGCCCAACCAGAACCTGGACAGTCTTAATTCACTGGGTCTGCTGATTTCATGTATAATGCAGTGGTTTCTTAGATCAAACTCCACTCCAGTCATCTAATCCTTCTCTTCTGCGATATTGGGTGCTCATTGCTTGGAGTCAGTAGATCTTCACTCATTTCACCTGTCACGGGCTATGGGTAGAACACCCATAAATGCTATTGCTATGGATTGCACTGGACAACATGTGACTCAAGGTAGAAGGTTGTCTTTGGCAAAGGAATTGAATATGCATTTTATAGAGCTTCAAGCATCTTGATCTTCTTTTGACAACTCAGAATTCCGCTTGAAACAAAAGTGATTGAATTGACAATGTGACTACTACATCCAAACGGTTGATAATTCTGAATCAATTATTGTGTGAGCTTTGGTCAGAAAAGTATCTTATTCTTCTGAGCCCTATTCTCTTCTGAGGAGAAAAAATACACTGGCTGATGTTCTAATTACATGTTGGCTCACAGAAGAGAGTGGATCAAGTTGTCACCTCTAACCCTCAATGCTTTGCTACTGTAGCTCTCGGCCTGCGACCCCCACAAAATCAAGGCATTGTGATGCACTTGGGGTTACAGGGTAAACAGTGACATAACTTTTCACTGATCTGGGTTGCATCCCATAACAACCATTCAACCGCAAATAATTTCACTTCTCACAGACAAATCTATTTCTGTCAGTTTGCATCTGTAATGACAAAAGAAAGACCTTCATGTTTTGTGAAATAGTTTTTGCAGTAAATGCTTTCTCCATGATTTGGTGTTCATTTTCTCTCCCAGTCCTTTGACTGACAAAAAAGGCTACAGAACAAAGAAAATCAGTGACATCAGCATAATCTTTGGATTAGTTCACTAGTTTTGTCTTGCCTGGAAAATCTGAATTCTTCTATAGTTTCCAGGCTTCATCTTCTCAAGGCTTGATGTTTTGTTCTGACCATCAAATTAATTTTTTCAAAAGGTGACTCATGAGAAAGTGACTCTTATTTTAACAGAAGCTTTTCTTGCATGGGGATAGGAGCTGCATTACAGAAGCGAGGGAAGCACATCTGGCATACATCATCTGATAAGGAAAAATTTCTTGCTGATGTGATAGTATGAGTCTCAAAGCTTTGAAAATGTTCCCTACCACACACTTTTAAGTTGTTGCAAGCTGGCTTAAAAAGATTTTGAACTGTAAATACCTTTGATTGGAAGCTTTTGCTTGTAATATCTTGAGAGGCCAAATGGAGTTTGAGGTTGTCATCACACCACCTGATCATGTAGAGTTGCTGTCATTTAAAGATGAGTTCAACCCATCCATTTTGGATGTTGAAAGAAGTATGCAACAGAAGTCTGCTTTTTCTTTTTTTACTGAGTTAAAACCCTTCATATGCATTTGCTTTTATTTTTGTGTTTTGCCATTCTGCTTTGAGATTAAAAGACAGTATTTGGTTGGGAACAGGATGGTTTGGGGGTTGCTTTTTTTAGTATTTGTTGTTATGGCAGGGGCACTTACAGAACCCATTCAGGTTTGGGGCTCAATATATGTAATAATGACTCACTTATAGATGTTTGTTTTCAAAGCTCTATTATAAATATTTATCATCTTAGTAATTTTTAGTTCCTTATCTTCCATTTGTTAATGTTTTTATTTTGTGGCTATGTGCAGTACTCTAACACAAGTTATTTTGATATTTTAGAGTTTTATCCATTACAAATATTAAGTCTCAGTTGGTTGGAGATAGAAAGTCCTACTGGCTTTTTATAGTACATTTTCAGGAGACAGGTTTTCTTCAGGCTGCTGAATATAGTGTCTAGCCTTAGAGTTTGACATCTCTGCCTTCTGCTGCTACTGCCAGTTGCTGGGATAATGAATAAAACGACAGTATTTTTGTTTTCCTGAGAAAATTTTGCTTAAATACCTTTTAGTTAATATTTGAGAGGCTTTTAGCTAAAAATTTGACAGATTCACAATTTAACTTCAGATGTTACATTTTGGGTTGTGTGTCAAAAGCATGCCTATGGAATCCTCTGACATTACAAGGAACTAGGTACAGTGAAGTTAGGACTGGGTATTTTAGTAGCATTAATTTAGATGATAAAAAAATAATTATTTCGTAATGGATGACTAGCTTTGATCCATTTGAATAAAGTGGAAAGTTCATCTCTGGCAAAAATCAGGTTAGTATGATAGATTTAATGTTAATAGGAGATAGTATTTTCATAAAACTTACAATTATATTTTAAAATATATTTGTATCAAACCCATTTCCCCTGCTTACCTTACGAAACTCACAGCTTAAGTGCCATTTCTCTGCAATAGCTGATGATATTGCTAATGCAGAAAGCAGTGGGGATGGGAGCCTGCTGTCCTGTCTGAGAGATCAGAGAGACTCTCTTCATTCATCTCATTATAGGTGGAAAAGCTTTTATTGACATTTTAAGAGATGAATAAAAGGTGCATTGCTATCATTTGACAACAGTCTGAGGAAATTTCTTGCTGGACATAAGAACAGCCATACTGGGTCAGACCAGTGGTACACCTAGCCCAGAGGTTCTCAAACTGGGGGTCGTGACCCCTCAGGGGGTTGCGAGGTTGTTATGTGGGAGGTCACGAGGTGTCCGCCTCCATCCCAAGCCCCACTTGGCCTCCAGCATTTATAATGGTGTTAAATATATTAAGAGTTTTTAATTTATTGGGGGGGGGTCACCTTCAGAGGTTTGCTGTGTGAAAGGGACAAGTACAAAAGTTTGAGAACCACTGACCTAGCCCAATATCCTGTCTTCTGACAGTTGCCAATGCCGGATGCTTTCGAGGGAATGAATAGAACAGGCAATCAAGCGATCTATCCCCTGTCGTGCATTCCCAGCGTCAGGCAAACAGAGGCTAGGGACACTCAGGCCGTGGCTACACTCAAAACTTCAAAGCGCTGCTGCGGGAGCGCTCCCGCGGCAGCACTTTGAAGTGCGAGTGTGGTCACGCGCCAGCGCTGGGAGAGAGCTGCAGGGGATTAGCTTACAGTTTACACTGGTGCTTTACAGCGTTGTAACTTGCTGCGGTCAAGGGGGTGTTTTTTCACACCCCTGAGCGAGAAAGTTGCAGCGCTGTAAAGCGCCAGTGTAGCCGTGGCCTCAGAGCATGGTATTGCATCTCTGTCCATCCTTACTAATAGCCATTGATGGACCTATCTGCCAGGAACTTACCTGGTTCTTTTTAAAATCCTGTTCTAGTTTTGACCTTCACAGTATCCCCTGGCAAGGAGTTCCACAGGTTGACTGTGTGTTGTGTGAAGAAGTACTTCCTTTTGTTTGTTTTTAAATTTGCTGCCTGTTAAATTTCATTGGGCAGCCCCTAGTTTCTTGTGTTATGTGAAGGAGTAAATAACATTTCCTTATTCACTTTCTCTATACCAGTCAAGATTTTATAGACCTCTTTCAGACCCCATGCCCCCCTTAATCATCTCTGAAAAGTCCCAATCTTTTTAATCTCTCCTCATATGGAAGCTGTTCTATACCCATAATCATTTTTGTTGTCCTCTCTGTACCGTTTCCAATCCCAATATATATTTTTTGAGATTGGACGACCAGATCTGCATGCAATATTGAAGATATGGGCATACCGTGGGTTTATATAGAGGCATTATGATATTTTCTGTCGTCTTATCTATCCCTTTCCTAATGGTTCCTAACATTGTTACCTTTTTTGACTACCGCTGAACATTGAGTGGATGTTATCAGAGAACTATCCACAATGACTCCAAGATCTCTTTCAGTGGTAACAGCTAGTTTAGACCCCATCATTTTGTATGTATATTTGGGATTATGTTTTCCAATGTGCATTACTTTGCATTTATCAACATTGAATTTCATCTGCTGTATTGTTGCCCAGTCACCCAGTTTTGTGAGATCCCTTCGTAATTCTCCGCAGTCTGCTTTGGACTTAACTATCTTGACCAAATATAAGCATCCATTGTATAATGTTAAAAAACGTGGCAACATTGTAACAATTATAGTATGTTTATCGAACAGTTGCTACAACTTAAAAATTTGTTTTCATAATAAGTTTACACTGCATGATGGGAGAGCCAAGTGTTTGGAATTTATACGGTTTTACCTATATTTATAACCTATAAGGTATCTGCTTTTGACTTATCTAATTTGGGCATGTAAACATAAAACCAGTATTACTTGGCTAGAGAGGAAAACAGATATTCATGTTTTGTACTTTATATTGTCCTTCAGTTTGCAGAGAGGGAGGAAGTAAAATGCATCTCTGAGTCACATTTTAAGAAATTACAGGTAATTTTTTTTTTTTTTAAACAAACTGGAATGTATGTAGTAAAGGAAATAGAGAGCTATAATTCTACCACGAGAAACTGATTTTTCTATCAGCAAACTACTGATTAAGAATTTTTGTTAACATAGGCTATAAGTAGGCTTGGAAGGATTAGATTTTTATCAGTAAAGGTCTTGCACTGTAAACACATAAACCAATGAAAAAATCTTTCCATCTGTTAGAATAGAAATATACAGATAGGCAAATTAAGAAAAATGCTGCTTGAGAACTTCAGAGTTTGATTTAAGGATATTTACTTTGTATATTTTGACATGTGATGTTGACAATTTGTGTTTCAATGGTTTTAAAACTTTAACTTTTTGAATTTCAAATGTCTACTGTCATTAAATAATTATTGTCTAACTCCCCCCGCCCCAATAATTTCCCACAATTGTGAAACTTTAAATGGATAAAAATAGAAGAAAAAAGCTTAACCCATAGTTCTGCACAACTGTGAACATCTACTCAATAAAAATCTAAAAAAGGTTAATAGAAACATCAGTATATCTGTTGAAATCATAAAGATAAAAATTGAATTCTGCCAAGCCTAGTTACAAGAGAGTTAAGTCATTATGCAAGTCTTTCAGTATACCACAAAATTGTTTCTATTGTTTACTACAAAGCAATGTCTAGTACACCTATTTTTAAACCAACAGTATAAGATAATTGATGAATGCAAATGAGTCTTAAAATTTCAAGTGGTTCTTTGGACCAAACTCCATTGCATGCATGCAATCATGCTCCTCTTCCATGCTCCTGTATTATAAATTGGCTCATTGAGTGTATAGTGAATGTATTACATTGTGTTAGTAATGTATTTATTTGTTAGTGTTCATTCTTTCACCTACAGTATTCATCTATTAATGAAGTGCAGCCAGTCTCTTAATCTGATTAAAATGTCTGTTTTATCAGTTTAGTCTTAATCACTCAAGGCATCTTCCATAATACCAAATTACAACTTTCCCAGTAATCTCTTGTCTGATTAATAACTCGTATTGTATACCTTAGTATTGTATATGAGTTTTAAAGAGATGCTAAACTTTTGAAAAAAATAACACTTGTTAATGATATCATTTACACTTTAAATTAAAACTGAAAGAATTATAAAAATCAGTTTGTTTTTCACTATTTAGGCAGTTTATTTCTTACATTTCCTCAAGTTAAACAATGAAGTCGATAGTTATTTTCACTTCAAAATCTCAGTACTTATAAATATTTTGAATATTGCAAATACTTTACTGTAAATGTTTATTTTAAACTCTTCATTGGAATTTTAATAACTTAGAGAAATGGTTTTATTGGTCTTACATTTTGTAAATGCTTGTTAGAAAACCTAATTTTGGGGAAAATTTTGCAGTAGTCTATTTTAAATTACATTTAAGATAAAAGGAGAATTATTAAGAAAATGAAAGATAAACCAGAAGAATATGATAGATCTAGTTTATTTGTGTTAATTATTTATTTGCTTAACTTCTAATTTTGTTAAATGGTTAACATAGTGCTGTCTCCCTTTAAAACTGTGATTCATCTACTAATGTCATTCTAATAGTACCTGTTGTGCTGTATAAGGCCTGGTCTACACTATGAGGTTAGATCGAATTTAGCAGTGTTAAATCGAATTAACCCTGCACTCGTCCACACAACGAAGCCATTTACTTCGACATAAAGGGCTCTTAAAATCGATTTCTGTACTCCTCCCCAACGAGGGGAGTAGCGCCAAAATCGACGTTGCCATTTCAAATTACGGTTAGTGTGGCCACAATTCCCGTAGTGTAGACATACCCATAGTAACAGAAACAAAGCAACACAGATACAGCATGATTGTCCTCTGTTGGTGACTAAGAAGATAATTATCAACCTTTCTCATATGTTTAGATATCCACTGATCTGGATGATATTTGTGGATTTAAATTTGCTCGTTCTACCAGATTTGAGGCAGTTTAGGCTCTTTTTTTCCTACTTCTTCCTTTGAGTTTAGGTTCACGGTACTGGACTGATGCAGCACTTCATTGATCACAGCTTACACTGGGCAAGTCTACATTACAATGCTACATCTGGTGAAGATGTGCTATGCCGACGGGAGACTGCTCTCCCGTCGGCATAATTATTCCACCTGGGGGAGAAGCGTAAGCTATGTGGGTGGGAGAGCGTCTACTGCCAACATAGTGCCGGTGTGGACCACACAAAACTTTTGTCGCTCAGGGGTGTGAAACTCACCCCCCCAGCAATGCAAGTTAGATCAACTTAACTGATAGTGTAGACCTGCCCATTCCTTCCATCTAGGAAAACCAGCTTCAGCTTTGCTCAGGGAGCTATAGAGCACGATTATTTCACAAACTTCTGAGGAACTTCAAATGAATGTGCATGCAACTTTTTCAGGGCTGATGTTATTAAGCCTAGATAAATTACATTGCAATAAACCAATCTGAAGGTAATGAAGGCATATAGAATAGAAACCAGTTCAGTCACCTAGTCAGTTGTTTCTTGTTAGAATTTGTTCATTGCAGTTCCTTCTTATACCTAAGTCTAGAATCAGTGAGGAGTGTGGTTGGACCTCACAACTGTGTTGGGGTGATAAGAGTTCTGTGTGATAAGACTTGCATTGTGGCCACTTAAGATTTCCAATTCCTTACCCAAGCAATACAAGATTGAATTTCTCACCTCAGTTGTTGCAGTCTTTGGTCCTGTTGCCTTTTATTTTAAATTTTGCAAACGATAAAATTAAAGTATGCAAATTAGGTCAACTGTCTCTATTTTTGTCAATTGCTGTAGGAAAAAAGTTGCCTTGTATTTGATATTTTTTCTAGGGATTGGCTCTTCCATTAGGTCAATCACCCACTTTTCCAGTCACCCACAGTATGCAGACCAGTGAACGCCTATGTATATAAGAGAGAATTAGGTTTATTTGTAATCTTTTATTTTCTCTGAATTATTCCAAGTCATTTAACAAAGCAGTCCATGACCGTAATCAGCTTGGCTGTACTGTTGCCTGTTCTTCGCTGCCTTTTTTTATTATTATTATTATTATTATTATTTATTATTATTAAACGTAGCGCCTGGAACAATAGCTTCCTGATTGGGGTCTCAAGCTTTTACTATAATATGGATGATAATCCTTCAGCCTAAGGTTAAATATTGCTGTAAAATGCAAATGAGTTTAACAACAAAATCAAATACATTAGATAGCCAAAGTACCCTTCATGATAAAATAATAAATGACATCTCATGTGCCTTTCCAGCTTACCTGAAATGTAGGTAAATTACAGAGTATTAAGCCTCTTGTATTTCCTAATAGTACATACTTAGGATGCCATATTAAACAATCTTTAATTGAATCCTACTGTTTTTAAAAAATTGCTATAATCGCCTGACCATCATATATAGTGGCTGTCATTAAATTTTAACATTTGCAAGTGGTTACCACCCAATTTTCCTTATACTTAAACCACACATTGCCATTAAAAAGCCAACATCTAAAAACAGTGCCCACACAACAAGAAAAGAAGAAAATGGTAATTAATGTAGGTACATAAGCAGTTCAAAATTAAATCACTGTAGACAAGTAAAGAATTGTATTTGCTAGGACTGAGACTTGACGTCTACATTAGAAATACAGTGCTTGATTCTTTATTGTGCTATGGCATTATTATGCCTGCTCAGTAGTGCAAAGGGGCTTTAAATGAATTGGCTCTGATCACCAGTATGTTTCTCCAGTACTGTATATAAATACCTGAGTGGTGTAGAGATCTACGCCACTCATTACCACATCCCCTAGCATAAGAAGTAGGGATGATGGAAAGGTGGTGTGGTGTAATTAGACCATCTCTGTGCTCCAGCTGCTCTTAGCTACTGGAACCAGTCCTTCATGGCCACAAGTAGTTAGGGCTGCTTTAACTTATGTATGGGGCCTAGGCAAGGCCCTGGCTGACCCAAGAATAAAGGAGTCACAAACATGACTTAATACCATCTTCACGGCCACTCTCATTGTCCCATTTCTACTTCATGCATAGTTTGGTCAAAAATGCCACACTATCGAAGTTCTCTTTACCATGCAGGTGTACCAAGATACTATCTGTTTCTCACACTATCAAAAGCCATCACTTCAGAATTTCTAATAAAATTTACTGTTTACATCCTTCTCAGCGGGTCAGTAATAGACAGATGAAAGAAACTTGTCCAACATAACAGTATTTGCACAGACAAAACTCTTTCTCTTTTAAAGCATCACTGGTACATAATCTAGGAAAATTTTCTCCTTGGGTATCCAGGATACCAGAAGTCCTTTCAGTCTCTTTGTTTTAGGAGGCCAGAGTTTCAATTCTAGTAGGATCATTTGAGTTAATCCAGTGCTACTTGCAATGAACTTAAGTAATATTGTAGTCACTAGAGCCCTGTTGCTCCAGCAAGACATCTGATATCTTTTTGAGATTCTCTCCGTATATGAGGGGTAGGCGTGTTAGTCTGTATCCACAAAAACAATGAGGAGTCCGGTGGCACCTTAAAGACTAACAGATTTATTTGGGCATAAGCTTTCGTGGGTAAAAAAACCCACTTCTTCGGATGCATGGTGTGAAAATTACAGATACAGGCATAAATATATACTGGCACATGAAGAGAAGGGAGTTACCTTACAAGTGGAGAACCAGCGGTGACAAGGCCAATTCAGTCAGGGTGGATGTGGTCCACTCCCAATAATTGATGAGGAGGTGTCAATACCAAGAGAGGGAAAATTGCTTTTGTAGTAAGCCACCTACTCCCAGGCCCTATTCAAGCCAAATTAATGGTGTTAAGTTTGTAAATGAATTGTTGCTCTGCGGTTTCTCTTTGAAATCTGTTTTTGAAGGTTTTTTTTGTTGAAGGATGGCTACTTTTAAATCTGTTACTGAATGTCCAGGGAGATTGAAGTGTTCTCCTACTGGTTTTTGTATGTTACCATTCCTGATGTCTGATTCGTGTCCATTTA